CAATATGCTCGAATTTTGGACCCAAGAAGTTGTTTTCTTGGTCTCTTATAGAAAGAACCTTCTCCATGATTCTCACCTCATCTAACTTCTCGCCATTTCTCTTTAGGTTATTAGTAACCGTTAAAACTCTTGAGAAGTAATCGGAGACGAGTTCACCTTCCTTCATTTGCAACGCTTCAAATTCTCCTCTTAGAGTTTGAAGACGTACCTTCTTGACTTGATCTGCTCCCTTGTAAGAAGTTTAATATATTTTGTTGGTAACTGAACACATGTTTCCTGTACCATTAATGTGTTGGGAGGAAATATTTGGAGGTGATGGAGAAAGTGTTTAAGAATTCGGGAGACAATAGAAAATTTAGGAAGAAGAAGATTTTTATTTCTTTTGAACACCTTAGAACAACTTGGAACTTCTTGATTACAAATGAGAGGGAAGGGGAGGTATTTATAGCCTCCAAAGTACAAAATATCTAGAATATTTTAATCCTAAATCTAGAGAGTTCTAGCATAATATCTAGAATTTTATATTACAATTATCTAGAGAAATATCTAGATATACATTCTCTATAATTTTCTAGAACATTTTAAGGAGGTGGAGATATTTAGATATTTCTAGAGAAAACTCTAGAACTTGGATCAAGTATTGGGTTTGGCCCAACAAGTGATAATTGGATCATTGATCCAATAATTAAACTTAATTCAAAATCAAGTTTACTTTTCAACACCCCCTCTTAAACTTGATTTTGCTACTCCAAGCAAACTCCTCATCTTGATAAAATCTTCGCGCTTGAGAGGCTTGGTGAAGATATCAGCTACTTGATCATTCGTCTTCACGTACTCCAATTGAACGTCCCTCTTGGTAACACACTCTCTAATGTAGTGATAACGAGTGTCAATGTGTTTACTTCGATCATGGAAGACTGGGTTCGTCAAAGATCGCCGACGCAGATCGCCGCCGCAGAGCTTGAGGAAAACGCTCGAAAAGCGAGGGCCTGAGGTTTGATATTATTTAATTATGCATATTAACTAATTATCACACTTTTAGGAGAAAATTAGCTATTCCTATTGTTCTGTGAAACATAGCTCACATAATACATGAACAGCTAAGCCGATTTGGAATTAAAATAAATAACTAGATAATAAAAGAATAAATTATATGCAACAAAGTTCAATAGGTGGAAGTAAATTAGCTCATATCCAAGGTTAAGGATAACCACAACAACAACGACTGCAAGTGGAACAACTTTTATTGAAGAATGTCATCTAAACTTGTTAACAAAGATATTATGTCATGAAGATGTTAAGTATAGCTTAAGGTTTGATAGATTGGTACATAAGATGTATTTTCTTCGCCATTAGCACTAACGACTCTATTGAAAAGGATCCAATGACCTTGTAAGCAATGATACTCATAGCGATTGATGCATATACTGAGTCCACTCTAGCACTTTCACGAACAGAGTATAGTTAAAAGGGATATTTAACAGTCACTGATCGATGTGTTTTCTATGTTAAAGAATTTGCATACATGAGGAATGTGACCACAAAGGTTGACGTCTTCAGCTTCGGTATAGTTATGATGGAGCTTTTCACCAGAATAAGGCTAACTGGGACTATTGAACATGATGGAGAGCATATCTCATTGCAAGAGTTTGTGGAGAAATCCTTTCAAGGTGGAGTAGATGCTGTGCTTAGCATTGTGGACGATGCAATGGACATTCCGACTGCAACACAGGGAGGCAAGGTTGTTAAAGTCCTAAAGTTAGCCTTATCATGTACCCTATTCAATGCAGAGGAGCGGCCAGTCATGAAGGAAGTTTTATCTACCTTACTGAAGCTTAGTCATGTATAGGATGTAATTTTACTTGTTCATCCACAATATTTTGACACACTAACATGTTCGAGTTTCAGCAAATCAAATTTCCCCCCTCTTTTATTTTGATGATGTTGTATGTATGTAGTCTGTCTCAGTTGTCATCTATGCTCAGTTTTCTCTGTGGAAGTGCAAGTTGGAAGTTTTTCTTGTTTGCGCATGCATTCTTGGCCTACATAGATTTTCTACTTACATGTCAAACTTTCATGAATTCGAACACTGTGGTAAGGAAAATTTGGAATCCTTGCTTAGCTATGGATTTTGCTCCTTTATGTTTCAAATATTTTTCTTGTTCATGCTTCTGGTCTGTCACATTGTTTTTTTTAAATTAAAATTTAAAGGAACATGGCCCTGTTAAGTAGCTATGAAGGCTCTGAGAAATTTCTGTAGTTTATTCTCAAGTGTGAAGGTAAAATACGAAGGCTGGGTTTAGAACTAGCAAGGTGTGGGCTAGAACTGGCTGTATACAAGCTAGAACTAGGGTAATACAAGCTAGAACTAACGCAGAAGCAAGAATTAACAAGTGTGCATGTAAAAAACCCTTGTTGGGTTTAGAACTAGCAAGGTGTGGGCTAGAACTGGTTGTATAAAAGCTAGAACGAGAGTAATAGAAGCTAAAACTAACACAGAAGTAAGAATTAACAAGTGTGCATGTAAAAAACCCTTGTTGGGTTTAGAACTAACAAGNNNGCCGCCCAACTCCAGCGCCTCCGGCCACCCGCTCCTCCATCCGAACCCGATCACCCAAGCCTCCTCCGCCTCTGACGCCGCCGCCAAACCCGCTACCCACACCCTTCGCCTCCGGCCTCGTCACGCCACCAACTCGAGCCGTCATCACCCACCTCGCCGCCGTCCAGTTCCTCGGCCCAGATCCGAGCCCCAACAACCCGCTGCCCTTGCCGACCGAGCCGCTCCCCTCCACCGACCAGCAAACCGCCGGCCAAACCCCAGCAGTCACCCCCTCCGAGAGCTCCTCCAACCGTCGTGTCGTTGCCCTTCGTCGTCGCCGACGATCCCTCCCGCTGACGGTAGCCACGTAGCCGCGCCGAGATCCCCGCGCCGTCGACGTTGATTCCTTCGACGAACCCCGAGGCAAGATCCCTCTTGCCGTTGTCTTGTTAATTTCATTTTTATCTCTTATGAATTTATTATGTGTATGTGCGTAGATTAGTTTGTGTTGATATGATTTTAATTGCGTAGTTGTTGATGATATCGCGGTGGATATATGCTGTGAAATGATGCTATGAATGATGAATAAATATGTCAAAAATAATTTATGGTTAATTTTGTGTTGTTTGAAAGGAAGAATATATTTATAGAGTATTTTTAGAATTATTTATAATGAGGAAAATATTTTAAAAAGGAATTATTTCGAGAAAATAATTTATCTGGGATAAGGAGTATTTTTGAATAATTGTTATGACTGAAAGGATTTTATTTTAAGAAAAAGAGTATTTTAGATTATTTTATAAAATATCATAGAAATAATTTATAAATTAAAAAGTATTACTGTTCATAAATAATAATAAAATATATTTTAAGAAGGTTATTTTAGAATTTTATAATGAGAGATAATTTTAAAGAAAGTTATCCTTGGAATTAATAACCGAGATTTCGATTTTCGTGTGCAAAACATTTGTTAATGGTAGTTTCATTTTGCATTGTTAATAGTAGTTTTGCTCTCGTATGTTTCTTGCATGTGATCACGATCCCTGTTCACACTTTATGACATTGACACTTAGCGTAACTGTATTTATTATTCCATGTTGAGATTCGTGAGAAGTACATGACTATAGTGACCTGTATAACATAGTCAGGATCTAGAACCTCGTGTGTAGTTGACCTAGAATTATGAGAATTGGGATGGGAAGTCTTGGTCTATGTGAGCGGTTGAGATTGTTGATGTATATTCTGGGCTCGCGCTGGTGAAGTTTGTGTAGTCACCGGGGTGGGTCCGAGGAGTTGTGATATGTGATTGTTGATGTATATTCCGGGCTCGCGCTGGTGAAGTTTGTGTAGTCACCGGGGTGCGCCAGCGTCTTGTTTCGGCCTGGGGTGGGTCTGAGGTGAGGTGATATCGAGATTATTATTTATTTTCCAGGCTCGCGCCAGCGCCTTGTTTCGGCCTGGGGTGGGTCTGAGGAGCAGGGATATTGAGATTGTTGATTATTTGAGATGAGTGATGTGATAGTTAGTTACATGACATCGATTCTTGGCTAAGTATGATTCTTGTGAGATATAGGCCGGTTGTACGCCTTTTCATACAGAGATCAGGATTAGTATTTAATTATCTATAATTTGAGACATATGGTATATACATGAGGGTTTCCTTGTTTGGATTATTTCGCTCGACGTACTACATCTCTTATTGTAGATTTTTAAGTATTAATTCTATCTAATTGTATGACCTTGTTACTTGGATGATTATTCTGATCGTTAGCTGCATGATCGACTTGTTACTTGGTTTACTGTTGATGATATGTCTATTCCTTATTCTGAGTTGTCTTTATATTCTTGCTATTGTGATCGGGGATCTGTGACTTCACGTTGTATTCATTTCTAGACGCTTAGCGTATTGGATTGAGAAGAAAAGAAAAAGAAAAAAAAAAGATAGTGTATATTTCTTCTCAATCTAATACGTCGCGGGCTTGTTCACGTCCCGATTCCACGGTATTTTGGGAAGCGGGGCGTGACAGGTTTTTTTGGTGGCCCATGCAGGTCCCGGTCCCGAGTTTCTACTAGTAAGAATATATTGGACAATTTAGATACATATCATATTTCATCCGTAAGACTACAATTAAGTTCTTATATTATTATTTTAGACTACAATTAATTTCTTATACTATTATTTTAATAACTATGTTTTAGTTCCTATTTTCCAAATATATTATTTGATTTTAACCTTAACTTTCCTTTTTATCCTCGTTCCTTCAGAATCATGGTGGGTACTCGTAGTAACGATAACCCGTCTAGTAGCAGTGCCCCACAGCCCGAAGTGGACCCGAGCCAACTTCTGGCGATGATTCAAGGACTGGCGACGAATCAGCAGCACCTAGCTGGGCAGCTGCAGCGGGAGCCTCAGCAATAGCCTCCCCCTCGTCCAGAGTCTAGCGTCAGGGAGTTCCGGTATATGCGGCCTCCTTCCTTCTCCGGTGCCGAAGGACCTTTAGCAGCAGAGGAGTTTCTCAAGGTCACTGAGACTATTCTCACGGTGACCCGCATCCCCCATGCTGAATGGGTGGACCTCATGGATATTCAGCTCACCGACACCGCTCGGATTTGGTGGACTGCAGAGAAAGCTCATTTGGAGAGACCGATTTCGTGGGATACCTTCACAGACCGCTTCAACAGGAAATATTTTCCTCAGTCAGCTCGGGACGAGCTTTTGCGAAGATTTGTGGAGCTCAAGCAAGGAGGGCGAACAGTTGATGAGTACGAGGCCGAGTTTTCTTCTTTGAGCCGATACGCTCCACACTTGGTGGCAGACCCCACTATCAGGAGATATCAGTTTCAGAAGGGCTTGGATAAGTATATCAGGTTTGCTTTGGCTGGTAGAGCACTTGCAACTCACGATGCAGTACTGGATGCAGCACGAGAGATTGAGAGCGTGCAGAGGGAACCTGAAGACCCGCATGTGACCCAGAGCAGGACACCAACGGCTCCAGTCCGGAATATCGAGCGTTCACCTTCGAGGCAGCAGCAGAATCCGCAGCGACATCAGTTTTCTCAGCGCCAGCCACTTCCTCCTGTGCATCCCTATCAGCGTCCTGGAGTGCAGACTCGCGACCGGCCTTAGGTGCAGTGTTCCTATTGTAGTTTCCGTGGGCATACCCATCAGGAGTGCCCCAAACGTCTTCGTCTGTGCTTCAACTGTAGATCCCCTGACCATGTCAACCGGGAATGTCCGCAGCGACAGCAGGCCAGCTTGCCCCCACCTCCAGTTCGAGCGGCTCTTCCAGCTCCACCTCGATCAGACTCAGCAGCTCCAGCTCAGCACAGACCTTATCCTCGAGCAGGGCCTCTTCCTCCACAGCAGCAGATTTATCAGGAAGCCCGAAGACAGCAACCACCACATCAGACATTCATGATGACGGCCGTGGAAGCTAAGGAGAACAACCAAGTTATCATCGGTAAGAATAGTTCATTCTTAGTCTATTTGCATATGAACTTCCTTATTTATGGATATGCAATATATTTTGAACATTGTATGAGTTGAATAGAATCAATCTTTTATTTCGTCCTTGTCATTTTAATTCCGAGGACGGAATTTTTTTTAAGGAGGGTAGGATGTAACAACCGTGAATTTTGATATGTATTTAAATAAATTTTTCTCGTATTTAAAATATTATATTATATTTTATTAATACTTTTCCTAATTTCTAGAATTTTCTGAGTTTTCAAAATAAATAAATAATAAAATATATAGTCTTGTATTTTTAATTCTGATAAATATTAATTTACGGTTTAGTGATTTTTATATATAATCATTTGGTGACTAATATTATTAATGACCTTGTTAATATTGATGTAAACTTGTGCATAGTATAGTAGTATATAAATATTAATAAAAAGATTTTTGGTTGATTATTAATTATTAATATAATTCAGAATTTTAGGTGAGATTTTCGAATTTTTTCCCTCTCATTTTTTTTTCTCATTTGAATTTGAATTCTTTCCATAACTCCAATCAATCAATTCCCTAATCACCTTTTAACTATTTCCTATTCACTCCCTTGATTTTCTCCCCCCAAATCACGTGCATATCCTCTCTCTCCAATCCTCTCTCTCATTTTATTTCAAGCACACCGTACTCTCTCTTTCTCTCTCTATTTCCATCCCTCTTCATCTTCAAGCTGCTCGAACCAGACCCCCGAAATTGATGCCTTATGAATGATGAATTAAATATTAGTCAAAACATAATTTATGTGTTAATTTTGTGTTGGTTTGAAAGGAAGGAATATATTTATAGAGTATTTTTAGAATTATTTCATATAATGAGGCAAAAATCATTAAAAGGAATTATTTCGAGAAAATAATTTATTCTGGGATAAGGAGTTATTTTGAATAATTGTATATGACTGAAAGCGATTTTATTTTAAGAAAAAAGAGTATTATTAGATTATTTATAAAATATGCATAGAAATCATTTATGAATTAAAAGTATTTACTGTTTATTAAAAGAATAATAAAATCATATTTTAAAGAAGCCGTTATTCGTTAGAATTTTATAATGAGAGAATAATTTTAAAGGAAATATTCTTGGAATTAATAAATAGGAGATAATTTTTAAAAGTAAAAATTATCCTCTGGAATTTTATAAATAGGTAGTTTCATCTGGCATTGTAATAGTCTAGCTTTACTTTCGCTATGTTTCTTGCATGTGCATCACGACCCCTGTCACACTTTATGACTTTGAACGCTTAGGCGTAATTACGTTTTATTATTCCATGTTAAGAATCATTAGAAGCTAACCTGACTATAGTGACCTGTATTGACACAGTTAGGATCTAGAAATCTCGGTTATAGATTAACTTTGGGAATTCGAGCGAATTAAGGTGAGAAGTCTTGGCCATGCTGAGGCGGTTATGATTAGTGATTGTTTTCAGGCTTCGCGCCAGTGCCTTGTTTCGGGCCTGGGTGGGTCTGAGGTGATCGTGCATATGTGATTGTGATGTATTTTCCAGCGCTCGCGCCAAGGATCTTGTTTTCGGCCTGGCGTGGGTCTGAGCGTGAGGGTGATATCGAGAGTATTATTTATTTCAGTGCTCGCCCAGCGCCTTGTTTCGCCTGGGGTGGTCGAGGAGCAGGGATATTGAGCATTGGTTTGATATTTGAATGTAGTGATTGTGATAGTTAGTTACATGACATCGATTCTTGGCTAAGTATGCATTCTTGTCGGAAGATATAGGCCGGTTGTACGCCCTTTTCATTACAGCAGCATCAGGATTAGTATTTAAGTATTCTATAATTGAGACATATGGTATATTTACATGAGGTTTCCTTGTTTGGCATTATTCTCGGCTCGACGTACTAGGTTCGAGTTGTAGATTTTTATGTGTATTAATTCCATCTATTGTATGCCTTGTTATTGGATGCGTTTTTTTGATCGCTACCTGCATGATCTTCTTACTTGGTTGATTTTTAGATTCTTCCTTGCATTATTAGTATTCCAGCTTGCATGCTCTAACGTTGTATTATTATCATCACATGCGCTCTTTATTCTTTTTGTGTATTTTTAGCATTGACCACGCATATTTATCATTACATGATTATTTCTCATCTGTCCTGCCTTGGGCGGATCTTGCCGTGCTTGTTTCACACGCTGCACGTACTCTATTTTCTGGCGTGTACCGTCAATTAGGAGCTAGAGCACCTCAGACGAATCGTACAGGAGCCAGAAGATTCATATCACGGTGCTCTTGCAAGAAGGAGTAGAAGAACCATCTGAAGCATAGTGCATTTCGTCTCCTGTAGTAGTAGATAAAAAAATTGGACATTTAGAACTCGTTTACCGTACTTTTCTTTAGTTTGATGATAGATTTTAGCTATTTTATTTCCTTTATTATGGACTTATGTATTTCTTATTTCCTAGTTGAACTGTTTTGTAATACAGGACGTATTTGACCCATATTTTTAGTCTGGGATGATTTACTGTATGATGATATGTCTATTCCTTATTCTGAGTTTGTCTTTATAATTCTTGCTATTCGTGCATCGCGGGATGCTGTGACTTCACGTGTCATTCATTTACTAGACGCTTGTTAGCGTATTGGCATTGAGAAAGAACAGAAAAAAGAAAAAAAAAAACTAGTGTATATTTCTTCTCAATCTTAATACGTCCGGCGGTTGTTTCGACGTCCCGATTCCCACGTATTTGGGAAGCGGGGGCGTGGACAGGTTTTTTGGTGGCCCATGCAGGTCCCGGTCCCGAGTTTCTACTAGTAAGAATATTTATTGGACCAATTTAGATACATATCATTATTTCATCCGCTAAGACTACAATTAAGTTCTTATATTATTATTTAGACTACAATTATATTTTCCTTTTACTATTATTTTAATAACATGTATTTTAGTTCCAATATTTTCAAATATATTATGATTGTGGAACAAATACTTGTCCTTTTATCCTCGTGCCTTCTGAGAGATCATGGTGGGCGTGGTACTCGTAGTAACGCATAACCCGTCTGGAGTAAGCAGCTGCCGGCCAGCGAGCCGAAGGTGGACCCGATGTGCGCGAAGCGTGCGTGGCGAGTGATTCAAGTGACTAGGCGACTGAATTCTGAGCCAGCACTGACTGTGTGGCAAGCTACAGCGCCGGGCACGGTGCGTAGCAAAGCCTCCCCCTCGTCCAGGAGCGTCTTAGCCGTGCGGATGTTGCGCGTGGGATTATGCCGCCTCCTTCCTTCTCCGTGCCGAAAAGCGACCTTTAAGCCAGCAGGAAGTTGTCGCAGAGGTCACTGAGCACTATTCGCACCGGTGACCCGCATCCCCGCGAGTGCTGATGAGTGTTGGCACTCATAGTGATATTCAGCCTCACCGACACCGGTCGATGGTGGCACTGCCAGCAGAAAGCTCATTTGCAGGATGACGACCATTCGTGCGGATACCTTCATCAGACCGCTTCAACAGGAAATGAGCCGCTCAAGCTCGGGGACGAGCTTTGCTCTAAGATTGTTGTCGAGCCTCAAGCCAAGCTGAGTGTTCGAAATTTTGATGATGCACGAGATCCCCTGGAGTTTCTTCTTCTGGAGCGCAACGCCTCGCACTACTTTGCGATGGCCCAGCACCCCCACTATCAGGAGATATCAGTTTCAGAAGCGGCTTGCGATAAGTATATCAGAGGGTTTTTGCTTTGTGGCCTTGGTAGAGGCACTTGCAACTCACGAATGCAGTACTGGCATGCCCAGCACGCAGAGATTACGAGCAGCTGCCCAGAGGCGGAACCTGAAGACCCGCATGTGACCCAGAGCCAGGACACCAACGGCTCCATCCGGAATATCGAGCGTTCACCTTCGAAGCCAGCCAGCAGAATCCGCCCAGACGACATCAGTTTCTCCAGCCGCCAGCCAACCTTCCACCGCCTGCATTCCCTATCAGCGTCCTGGCAGCTGCCAGACTTCGGCGGACCGGCCTTAGGTGCAGTGTTCCTATTTGCTAGTTTCCCGCTGGCCATACCCATTCAGAGTAGCCCCAAACGTCTTCGCTCTTGTGCTTCAACTGTAGATCCCCTGCACCATGCTCAACCGGATGGTGTCAGGCAGCGACAGCCCACTGCGCCAGCTTGCCCCCACCTACCAGTTCGAGCCGGCTCTTCCAGCTCCACCTCGATCAGACTCAGCAGTCTCCAGCCTCAGCCACAGGAACCTTATCCTCGAGCAAGGGCCTCTTCCATCCACAGCAGCACATTTATCAGGAAGCCCGAAGACAGCAACACCACATCAGAACATTCATGATACGGCCGTGGAAGCTAACGGAGAAACAACCCAAGTTACATCGCCGTAAGAATAGTTTGCATCTTAGTCTATTTGCATATTGGAACTTCCTTATTTATAGGATATGCAATATATTTGGAACATGCTATGCAGAATAGAATCAATACTTTTAATTTCGTCCTTAGTCATTTTAATTCGAGACGGCAATTTTTTTAAGGATGGCGTAGGATGTAAACCAACCAAGTGAATCTTTGATATGATATTTAAATAAAATTTTTCTCGCTATTTAAAATTTATATTATATTTTTAATTAAACTTTCCTAATTTCTAGTAATTTTCTAGTTTTTCAAAATAAATAAAT